TTACCACTTTGAGGTCTCTTTTAAGGCTTGCAAGTCACTCTGTAAGAAACACAACGTTTAAAACAATTATTATTCTGTACAAACGCAAAGCACAAGAATTGTAAACAACAAAAATGGCCGCCATTGAATGATGTGCAGTGTTGCAGTGATTTTTAGTATTTTTAGTACGAGATCGAACAGACCTTGTTGTGTAGATTGTGTGAATCACAATTGTGATTAATCTACAGTGTAGATTTTTAGTATTTTTAGCATGAGATAGTTGTGTAGATTATCTACACAACTATCTCATGCTAAAAATACTAAAAATCACTGCAACACTGCACAGAGTTTAACGGCGGCCATTTTTGTTGTTTACAATTCTTGTGCTCTGGGTTTGTGCTGTTTAATAATTGTTTTAAACGTTGTGTTTCTTACAAAGCGACTTGTAAGCCTTAAATAAGGCCTTTAAGTGCTAAGGACAACCATTTAAATAAGTAAATTTACTCCTCTTTTATAATAAATATACCTTATTCTATCAGGGCTGTCAAATAAAAATTTGAAGGTTAATTTGTGGGTTATAATTTAACCTTATTTTCATGACAGCCCTAATAGAATAAAGTTTATTTTTTACAATAGAGGAGTAAAATGGTTGTTCTTAGCACTTTAAGGACTCTTTTACTATGAGAAACACAACGTTTAAAACGATTATTAATCTGTATAAACAGAGCACAAACCCAAAGCACAAAAATTGTAAACAACAAAAATGGCCGCCGTTAAACTGTGCAGTGTTGCAGAGATTTTTTGTATAAAGACCTTGTTGTGTGGATTGTGTGCATTGTGCTCCAACCTATCAAAAAATCCGAAAATATCCAAAAAAATACGAGGTGTGAACAGAAATTAAAAATGCTTGTTATGTATAGCAACGACCAGAAAAAAACCTCGTTCGATAGGTTATAAGTATCTATCGCAATTTTCAAAGTGTCTTAGGGCGGAAAATTATTTCACAACAAAATTAAACATACGTAGATAAAACAAACGTAAACACTTTTGAAATTTAGCTTTCAAACAGAACACAACATAAGTAATATTTTAAAAAATGCTCAACATTTTATCCAAAAAAATCCGTAAAAAATCCTCCGAATTACAAAATCCGAAAAAAATCCGATTGTTCAAAAAAAATCCGCAAATCGGATTTTAATCCGCCGATTGGCAACACCGCAACTGCACCTTAGAACCTTGTCATTCTAAGGTGCGTTCTTTTCACCTGAGATCTCAGTTAATCTCAGCTCACATCGGTAAAATTTGCAAATGTGCGCGTTCTTTTTGCTTCACTCACCATAAAGCAAAGAAAAAGGATAAAGTGAGCTGAGATTTTTTACACTTTTCAAAGCTTTAAACATACGAATTTTTTAATTAAAAAAAATAAACCTGGTATAGATTCTTTGGGAAATTTTATGCTCTACAAGAATCCGCGACGTAAAAAATTTTATCTCAAACGGTTCAAAAGTTATAGTCTTTTTAATGAAAAAAGATTTTTTTACGTGTTATTTCAATGGAAAACTTAGAATGCTCACCGACACCTTTTAAAATTGAGCAAAAAATTTTGCCTTGCAGGGAAATTTTTTGCTCGGTATGTAGGTTCATTTTAACCCATAAATCCGATAGGTTAGTTTTTTTGGCTCACCCTACTGAACACCTATCTTAAATAATACTAAAAAATCATGTATTTTAAATATTTTGTGCCTACGCGCTGTCACCCTACAGCGCATGTCCATAACAAGCACTGTGATTGGTCATGTCAAAGACCTTTACGGTGAAAGATAAAACTTAAAAATTTCTACGGGAGGAAGGAATGCCGTCCTTACGGTACGAGAATCTATAAATGGCACTACGATTTCGTATTTTTCATCTTCTACGGGAGGAAGGAAGGAAGGAAGGCAATCTATAATTCAGGCTTTACCCCCATGAGCGGCGGTGGAACAAAATAATAGCAAAACGTAGTAGCGCAATTTAGTTTTTTTAAATGCATATTAGTAACACATCTAAATATTTTGTTTTAGTTTTATTTTATCCTTAAAGCTAGCGAAATCTATGAAATAACATTTTAAATATTTAAAATCTTTTTTGCCAAGCTTCATTTATAGATTTTTTTCCGTTCTTTCTCCCGCCCCTCCGTAAACGATATACAATTTGCAAGCCGCAGTAACATTTATAGATTATCTATAAAGCCTGATTTATAGAGTGCCTTTCTTCCTTCCTTTCTTTTTCCCGTAGAAGAAAAACAATACAATCCCGTACGCGAATATATATACATATATATTCAAATATACTTTGTTTATATTTTAATTTTCTTGTTACCTATTTGTTATAGTGATTTTTTTGTTACTTTTTTATATTTATTACTTGAATAAAGTATTTTGCCTAACATTTCTTGTCTTTAATTGCATTAAAAAAATTGTATCCAAAGTTTGGATTCCAAACTTTAAGCCAAAATAGAGCGGGTGTAGCGGAATTAGGATAGTTTCGGCTGTAGCGCAGCGTAGCGGAATTTTGATATTATTATTTGTTTTTTATTTGTTATTTTCGAGTTGGCAACGCTGGATTATACCCACTGTGGGTATGTTCTGAGGGTTACAGTAACTCACAGAAGTTCTGTGACAGAACATTATACCCATGGGGCCTACACAAGGAGCCCGAACTTCATCTAAACAAGAATCTTCCTAAGATAAGCGGTTTCATATACCCAGACCGCAAAATCACATTCCCTGCACATGTCAGGAATATTCCCAGGAATATTCCAATCGTCCCAGAATATTCCCAGGAATATTCCTGGCATAATCAAATGTCCGCTTTTTGGTTATTCCAGGCATCATAAAAAGAATATTCCATATATCTGCCTGCAGAAGACTCAAGGATTGTTAGGGGAATATTCCTTGATATAATTTGGGATTATTCCCAGCCCTTATTGCCTCTTATACCCAGGAACTTAACTTAAGTATAGCCATTATTGAGTTACTGAGTAGATCAGTCCCACTCTAATCATTGTTTGGCTGTGCCATCACAGACGCACATCTCCAACTAATATTATTAACCTATCGGTATATATAGTTATCAAGCGTGCGTAAGCAACGGTGAGAGGTATTGTAACTAAACTAATGAATATTTACTGGGAATATTCTTAGATGATGCTTGGAAGTTTTAGAGGATCATTCTAGGAATATTCCCAATGAATATTCCTAGAATGAAGCGGATTATTCCTAGGCGATAGGGAATATTCCTGGAATATTTTCAAACCTTCATTGCAGTCTGGGTAGATGCGAAGTGCGAAAAATGTTTTCATTGGTCCATTTGATTTGGCGGGAAAAGCGTTTTGACGTTTCGACAGATCCTGCGAATTCGCAAGATTTGAAATCTGGGGGCGGGAATCTTGAGATTGATCCAATATTTTGCGAAAATCGCACGAATTTGTCGTGATGTGCATGCGCATTAATTAATTCTGTCTTCGTTTCAACAATAAATAAGCGCAATTGCACGCCTTCGGCGGCAATGGTATAACTGCCACTGGTATAATTGTTCATCCATAATAAAAACACAAAATCTCAATTCACATAAAACAACAAATAGAAAACCAAGTATAGCAAATATCGTCTGGGAAGAAAATTATGTCCCCAATTGGGGACATATTTTAAAATACCATGGCAAATATCGCATAGTGAGAAAACAAGGTCCCTAAAATAGTTCCGACAGTTCGCATCTAATGAAATAGGAGTTACGAAATGAGAATATTCGTATTTCTCATCTAGGTATATGAAACTGCTTTAATTCAAAATGGATTTATCGGCTTTTGCATGTTTGCTCCACATTTATAAATTTTCGAATATAACGTGAATTTGCAGTGCAAATAACATTCCAAGCAAGTCACCCGCCAGCTTTTGGTTCGCACATGACGTCACCTGGAGGGAGAGAGACAGCTATAACATGCCCATCACATATCGGTTTTTGTGTATCGTGCATCAAAGAATCTCCGCGAGAAGTTGCACCGTCATGGCCTACATGGGCTTAAGAGAATCCGAGTTTAACTCATTCCCTGAATCATTTATATAATAAATATATTATTATACCTTACGGTTTATTTCAATTTTAATCTGTTTTCTGTCTTAAACATTTTAATTTTCCTCAGTTTGCATTGTCTATATTTTTCTTTCCATTGTTTCCATTTAGTGTTCTCACTATTATTCTTGCTTTAAAAATTTGTTCTTGATTTATTCATTTATTCCATTTTCCCATAAACATTATTAACAATTATCACACAGTGTGATTCACACTGTACCTTTTACAAACATCCATATAAACTTCTTCTTTCATCAATAATTCAATTTTTTCCTTAAATATATCAGGAAGTCATTCAGTATTTTCATTTTATTTCATCCATATTACATTTTTTATTCATTTCAACCATGTATGGTTGAGTGCAGACTTATTTCCATATATATTTCAACCATCTGTTGTGGAAATTTCTTGTAACTTATTCAATTTGATGTAGATTTTGTTTATTTAATAGTTTTCAGCCTATTTTTATGCTGGGATTCCGGTTTTGTCCCCCCAGGGTCACAAGTCACTTATTTTTCAAACTGTTTCCATAGAGCAAGTGACCGGCAGGCTCGAAGAACAAAACCCGAAGCTAGTTTTATGGTTAGCAACTATTTTATTAAGCAAATCTTAAAAATCATGAACAAATATAGAAGGTATGTAGCAGAAAGGTTAGAACGTCTATCTGACAATGTCAGATTGTCGGATTTTATGGTTGTAAAAATAGATTATTACGATTATCTATGATGATTTGTATTTTATTTATTAATGCTTTTCTATTAAGAGTACGAAAAAAACAGCGTGTTTTGGTGCACATTTTTTTCCAAATCTCAAATAAAATAAGTGGGTGCGTTAATTTTTATAATGACCAATGCAGTTTTTGTAATACTCAAGCTTTAAGGATTTTTGGTAATTAAGTAATAGGAAAGTAATTGACTTAAATTTAATATATTTTAAAAACTGTTTCTTTAAAATAACTTTACAGAATTTACAAATCAGCTCTAACGCCAAAACCAGGACCTGGTGGATCTCCTTTTAAAGAAGTTGGTGGCCCAATAGGTTCAGCTGCAAATCTTCCATTTCTAAAAAAAATGTTTTTACTAATTTATCAATATTTTAGTTTTTGGCTTACCTTGGACCAGCTTGCGGTTTATTACCACATTTTAAATCATTTAAAATATTTTCTGTATCTTGAACAGTTAAATCTTCCTAAAAAATGATTAAAAAATAAATTTAGAGAATTCAAGACTATTTGGAAAACTTACATAATAATCGTCATTAATTTGAACCATGGGAGCATTAACACAGGCTCCCAGACATTCAACTTCAGACAAAGTAAACATGCCATCGGCAGTGGTGCCTCCAACTTCCAAACCTAAATCTTGTTTAATTTTTTCAAGAATTTCATCGGATCCTCTTAGCCAACATGGGGTTGTTGTGCAAATTTGCAAATGGTATTTACCAGTTGGTTTCCTAAAATAAATAATTTCTATTCATAGTAAATTTAAAATTTGGGCAATTCCATACACGAATTTGAATATATTTCTTTGCTTCAGGTCACTACACCATATTTCAGGGATTGTAAATTTGTGAGGTATAATAATTAATATATTAATTATTATACCCCACAAATTTATTTAAAAGGAATCTTTTTAAAATATATTTCAGAGACTTAATTTTAAAATACAAATAAAAACTACAAAATGTGATTTTTACTATTTTTTAATGGCAAAAAACAATTTTAGTTTGTTTAGAAAAAAAGTAAAATCTAGTGATCCAATTAAAAGAAAATTATCTACCTCATAAACATGGTGTAAAAGGTGGCCACTTCATAAACTCTCATTTTAGGAAGTTTTAAAATGTCAGCAACCGTATGCATAGCTGAGATAGGCAACCAGCCATGTTGCCTTTGAGCCAAATCAAGTAAGGGAATCATTGCTGCTCTCTTGTGTCCTTCTGGATAAATTGCTAGTAGAGCTTCTACTCTCTAAAACAATATATTATTATATTATCGACTGCCATGCTCTTCAAATATTTATTTTCATCCAGATTAGCAAATGTATGAAGGAGTAGAAGGGGCACAGCACAAAAAAATTAAATTTTAAGTTTATGTCGAAAATGTAGAGTAAAATTTCGACTAGCTACTCAAAATTTTAAAATATTGAGTTGAATCGAAAATTTAAAATTTTCTCGTTCTATTTTCATTTATTTAAATTTAAGTGCCATAAGCATCTCCTTCAAAAGTAAATTCGTCTGAGCCTTTTGCGCCCTTTTAACCATGGTTGAGTGCAGCTACAAAACAATTATTTAAGGAACTGTCCAGACAGCTTAAAAAAAATTGTGCACTGTCGACCCCTGTTATTTATTTTTTAAGTCTTGTGCATGCACAAAACTGCACGAAAATTAAAAATAAAACCAACACGCAATAACCCAGCCTAACCACCCTATTAAAGACAATTATTCCATTGGTAAACTTTTTATTTATAAAAAATATAGGTATATAAGTTTTGCGTGCATAAGTCTGTATAAAAACAAAAGAGCACCCAACGACCCTATCCTATCGGTAAACTTCTTATTGAAAAAACTTACCTCTACCCAATAAATTTCTTAATAAACAAATATTTTAATTGTTCAAACTCATAAAATAAAATATTCTACCAGAACCAAGTGCAAAAAGGGTGTAAATTGCCTGTGCACCTCAGCCTGAATTAAGTCCCAGAGTGCTCTACCTGTAATAAAAGGGTGTGAGTGGATGACTGGTACAGAAGAGTACCAACACAAAAAAAACGCATGCCAATAGCGGGCGGGCGAGGTTAAGGAAGTTCAAGTTCAACTATGCAATAACCGATAAGTAAAATTAACAAAATTGCATGACCTTAATAATACCCAAATACTAAAATTGAATGCGAAATTTGCAACCTAACTAACAAAAAACTCCACTAGGTAAAAATTAATTAGTCGCCAACATTTCCCATAAAAAAAAGCATGAAAATCAATGAACTCATAAAGAACGCTAAAATAAACATTAATAAATCAATCAAGTTCAGACAAACACTGGGCAAAAGGAACTCAGCCTAAAGAAATAAACATCTGTATATTACGTAAGGGGACCATAAATTAGACGAACATGAAGTAATCAAAGACCAGCAAAGATAGGTCCTAGCTGCTTATTAACCACCCAATCCCCATTCATTAAACCCAATTGAATGGGATTTTTACTAAATTCCTGGTTGAGAGGGAATCCGGATTGTACTTAGTTTTGGGTCAGTTTATGCCCCTTAAAAACCAAAATATTTTCCCTCCTTGTCCCGTACTCCACTAGCTTTAAGCCTGAATTAGAGATTGCCTTCCTTCCTTCCTCCCGTAGTCGTGCCCGTACGATTTGTGCGTCTTAGCGTAATAAGTCAATTTATAGATTTCCGTGTAAAATTCCGCAACCATGCGCGATGACACCTAAAATGGTTGACATTTATTTTTGTTTATATTTTGAGTCCATAGCTTTATCATAGCACAAGAAAACGCATTTGGAATTTTTTTGTAGTTACTGTCTTTCTCCATAGTACGGTATAATGAAAAAAAACAACGAACAAGACGTTGGAAGACTCGCCCACTTTACCAAGACCGGGAAACTACGGGGTTTTACAAAGCAATGTTTCTAAAAATCAAAGACATTGCTCATAAACAATATCTAAATATCCTATTTAGAGACACAAATTATTTAATAAACTGAACACCTATCTTAAATAATAGTAAACAATCATGTATTTTAAATATTTTGTGCCTACGCGCTGTCACCCTTCAGCGCATGTCCATAACAAGCACTGTGATTGGTCATGTCAAAGACCTTTACTGTGAAAGATAAAACTTAAAAATTTCTACGGGAGGAAGGAATGCCGTCCTTACGGTACGGGAATCTTTAACTGGCACTTCGATTTAAATAAACATTTTTGACGTAATTGTCACCATTAACATTGCCCGTTATTAATTTTAATCAAACTTAACAATTATTGATACTTTAAAATATTAAAATAACTTCAAAATGTGATTTTGTTAAGAAAATATTTTATTCTTTGATTTTTTTTAATTACCATAATTGCAAAATATTATCACAAAGTATTAAAAATTCCTACACGGGAAATGTTAATGGTGACAATTACGTAATGTTCATCTTCTACGGGAGGAAGGAAGGAAGGCAATCTATAATTCAGGCTTAAATCGGGCGTATGGCCCGGCCCGGCGACAAAATTCCGGGAGTGGCCTTAACCATCGACACTGTCATCCACGACCTCCTAGGCGAGATTTACCAACCGGGGTGAAAACTCGGATCCACCAACCAAAGGTAATGCTTTACAGTGTGTCGGGATACGTAGGAGAACTGGGGGTAAAATAAGCCTGGGAGATCAGTGTAAGGCTATGACGATGGGGCCTGCCATACGTTCCTTATACTCATACTCAATTAATAGGGATAACTATTTATACGATGCATTTAGTATTAATTTTTTTAATCACCAAAACAATAAAATGAAATATGAAACAATGTAAAAAAGTGAGAATATTAAATCTACAAAAAAAAATTAAAATAATAAAACATAATCATTTTCAAAACAAAAATGCAAAATAAAATACGGGGTAAACAACTCCCGTATTTTGTCTATGTATGGCTTTTTAAAACATCGCAGTCCCACTGCCGCGGAGGGAGCAGAGGAAGAGTTCGAGAATGTGTAACAAGAAAAACGGGTTTGTTTTCATTTATTTTGCTCAGATTTAAATTGTGACCCTAGTTTGGTGCTGTACAGTTTTTGCGCGAAATATGCCTTCTAATTTTGTATTCGTATGAGCAAAAACGCTAGCCCTGATACATGGACGAACATTTTTACAGCTTGAAAAGACAGCAACGTCAAAAATATGAATTATTTTATATGTTTTTTTTACAACTGGTTTGATCCATTCCAGCTTCAAATGCTCTAGTATTATCCCTACTAGGAATAAATATTGATATAGTAAAGGTGGACCTACAATAGGGTGGGCGTAAAAAAAAAATATTTGAGATATTTATTTTTGGGTAGCAATAAAAAGTCACCTTATGTTAAAAGTAATTTATTAGAAAAAAATGTAGCGCACTAGCCCATTATTTAAGGGTCCCCCGGGGGCCCAAAATATTTTTTTTTGTATGTTTTGACTGGGGTGGGAACAAAAAGTTACCTTATGTTAACAGTAATTCTAAAAAAAAAATGAGCGTACTAGCCCAAAATTTAAGAGTGCGGAGGCCCAAAATATATTTTTTGTTCATATTTTAATTGGGGTAACCACAAAAAGTAACCTCATGTTAACAGTATGTTTAAAAAAAAATAGCCATTCTAGCCCAATATTTAAGGGTGCCCTGGGGGGCCCAAATTTTTTTATATATATTTTAATTGCGATGGCAACAAAAATTTACCCCATGTATTATTGCATAGACAAACCAAATGCCTGTATCAGTCTAAGTTTTTTTTATTCTTTTATTAAGACGCCTTTTGATGAAAAAAATTAGCAACTCTTAGCTTGATTTTATTAAATTTAAAAAAGATTTTGCGTTACTCTAAATTAATTAACACAACCACTATCGAAATAAATAAAGTCTTAAAAGAAGTAAATGCTTGGTGAGTTAATCATAGACTTCAGTTAAATGCCAAAAAGAGTTTTGTAATAAATATTGGTACAGTATATATGATAAATAAAAAACAATATAATTTTAATACCATACATATAAATATTATAGAAATACCTCAGCAAGAAAAAGCAAGAAATCTGGGTGTTTTTTTATTATTTATACAACAAATGTTACAAGACAACTTAGTTTATGAAGCTGAAATCACTATATTAATTTAAGTTCTAAATTCTAACACCAAGTGCAAAATTGTTTCAACATTAATATACACCCTATTATAGACTATTGCATGCCAGTCTACTACTCATATCATACTGAAACATTTAAAAATAAACTCATGTATTAGATTCATATATTTAGTCGGAAAATTTGACCCCAATACTTCAATCTATTCGGAAAACAAGCATTTAAAAATAATTATTAATAATTGTAATTGATCCTTACAGAAAGTAAATACCTAATAATTGCCTGAATACCTATTCAACAACTGTATTCAAAGATCCAATAAATGCAATCTTGATTTAAGGCACAATCTTTTTCAAATACTTAGTCACAAAACTTCAAAATCTTAGGATTCGTTTATAGACCTATCTATAGAAATTTTGAACGATAAAACATTCTTTAACATAATATTTCAATATCCAAACACATTTAATTTAGAGTAACTACAAAAATTTGTTATTAACTGTTGTGATATGAAATTATAGGATTTAGTTTAATTAATATGTGATATACAGAATAAAATAGATTTAATTTCTTAGTAGGTGGTATGGAAGAACGTCCTTACGAACGCAGCCTTTTGTGTAATTAATTTTGTGTTTTATGCAATAAAGCATTTTTATTATTATTATTATTATTATTATTATTATTATTAATTAATTGGATATTTGCTCCTCGAGTTCCATACGCTCCCTCCCACCCAGTTTTTTTATTATTTAAATAATATTGAGACTTGTTGTCATATAGGCCGGTAAAGATGTCCGCGCATCTATATATATATGGTTATAACCATTTCTTGCTACCTCACAGCAAATTTTTAATGCAGCTTCCGTTACAAGCTTTACAAACTTTTTCACCGCTTGCGTGTGAAAGGGAAACTTGCCGAACCTTATATAGAAGTCGTCTGCTTGACTTATAAATATTTTTAGTTCTTTTATTTTAAAAAAAACATTTCCAAATTTATAAACATTTTTAACCCTAGAATTTGCTAAACCGCCAAATTTTTTACGACAAACTCTAATATTGGACATTTTTTTGTAAAAATATTACATAAGGTAACTTTTTGTGGCTACCCCAATTAATATATATAAAAAAATGTTGGGCCCCCGGGGCACCCTTAAATATTGGGCTAGTACGCTAATTTTTTTTTTACAATTATTGTCAACATAATGTAACTTTTTGTTGCCACCCCAAACAAAATATAAAAAAATAATATTTTGGGCCCCCAGGGGGACCCTTAAATATTGGGCTAGTATGCTAAATTTTTTTTTACAAACCACCTTTGGCATAAGGAAACTTTTTTTGGTACCCCTAAATTGAATTCAAAAAATAATTTTTTCGGCCCACCCTAACCTACAAGTCAACTGAAATTTTAAGTTAAAATGTACAGATTTAAGTTATTATTATGACCAATCAGAAAATCAACACATGACCTTAGTAAAAATCGTTAGTTAGTGAGATATTGTAATTTTTATGAATTTTGCTACAAAATTCCATATTCTAAAATTCTATTTTATATTGCGCAAATCTGAATAAAAAAAAAATTTACCGCTTTTGATTACAGTTCAAAATAAAACTGATGGTAGTTTTTTATCTCTTAAAAACAAAAAAATTTACCCGATTTTATACTTTTTTTTATTAGCTAACTTTGCCGTTCACGCTAACTTGGCAAGATGTTTTAAAAAATTGCTAATTTAGTTTAGTTTTTACAATGGTATTAAATTGGTCATGGTTTACTTTAAAGAAAAAGATATTGCTGTTTTAATGCAAAAGAGCTCGTTTTGAAATTATTTCAATAACTAGAAATTCAAATAAACACTTGTTTAATGAAAGTAACAAATATTAATTTAAATAAATCAGAAATAAAAATCAAAGGTTATGTTCAAATTGCCTGCCACCACTTGGATCAGGTTTATCCAGAGAGATGGATCGGACGTCTTGGTTCCATTTTGTGGTCTCTTCGGTCTCCGGATTTGTTCTACTGGGGTGGCATGAAGAAAAAAGTCTATGGTAGTAATTCATAACGGAGATGAATTGAGACACCAAATTATTGAAGCCGCACAACAAATTAATGACGCAGGAAATGCAAGACGGATAAATCGATCTTTTTTTAAGAAGATGCATTCCACTTAATGGCACAGGCAATTTGAACACATTCTTTGATTTTTATTTTTGATTTGTTAAGTTTTGAACTCTCATTTAACAAGTTTTTATTTGAATTTATAATTATTGAAATAATTTTACGATGAGTTCGTTTTGCAGTAAAACAACAATACTTTTTTCTTTAAAATTAGAGTTTTTTTTAATATCTTGCCAAGTTAACGTGGTATATTTTTTTACATTCTGAACGGTCAGTTATTTAATAAAAAAAAAAGTATAAAATCGGTCAAAATTGTTTTTAAGAGGTAAAAAACTACCATCAGTTTTATTTTAAACTGTAATCAAAAGCAGTAATTTTTTTTTATTCAGGTTTTCGCAATATAAAATAGAATAGAATAGAATTTTGAGAATAGAATAGGGTAAAAATGTTTAGTTTTCAAAAGGTAAAAAACTACTATATAGTCGTTTATTTTGAACTGTAATCAATAGTAGGCCTATTCTGGGTTACGCAACATAAAATAGAATCTAAGAATATGCAATTTTGTAGCTATGGTACTCGAAAAACTGATCGTAGGTGTCAAGTTTCACAAAATTTATAAAAATGTGAATATCATAAAAACTAACGATTTTTACTAAGGTCATGTTTTGATATTCTGATTAGTCATGAGCTGACTAATAGTCCTTCAAAGAATATCGTTGACTTTTGGGACACCCTAAATAGGTAATTTATATAATTGGATTAAATTAATTTTAGAATATAATTGCCCTTTTTTTTTTTTGTTTATCATAATAATTTTTTGTGTAAACCTTGAATAGTAACCGCAAACAAGTACGTATTTTAAATGCACAAATATTGTATACTAGGGATAGAACGATATCACTTTTTTTGCCGATACGATATATCGGCCGATACCGATATACCGATATATCGTATCGCCAAATATAATGCCATCTATTTATACACGACCGAAGCAAAAACCGGGGAAGTCCCGTTTTATAATTCCGTTGCGAGGAAACGTTTGTGATTGATAGTGAGTGATATTTCGGATTTCGGGAAAGCCCCTTATATTCTGAAGTGCTTTAAAACACGGGTTTTTAAAACTAGACTGTTAATTGGAGGAGATAAAATAAATAATAAATAAAAATTATCTTGCCGATACGATACCGATAATCGGCAACAATTTCCGATATGCTGATATACCGATATCAATATCGTTCTATTCAATGAATACTTTATTTTCTAAAATGTTCTCAAAATGTAACGGGTGCGACATTTAAACTTTGTATCGAGTATTGAAACTCTTCCGTGTTTATTCTTAATGCTAGCTTCTTAGAATTACAATGTACGAATATTTTAAAGTTATAAATAACATCGCAATTGACTTCAGATATAGTTTTTATTTTGTTAAATAACACATCTGATTTTTTGTCAAGGTGGGGTAAGGTTTCGCGGAATACCCTTTGGTAATTTAATAAATATTTTTTATACTTAAATTCACCAGTTTAGTTTTTATACATTTTCAATTACATATTGAAGCAAAATATATATTTTTTAAATTTTAGGCCTAAAAAATTAAAATATTTAATGTTTTAAAACATATAATTATATATAATTTATATAATATGCCTATTACAAGTTTTATAACATCACTTGTAGTAACTACAGTTACTACAATTTATATAAGAGTTTCAAAATTATATATTAACATAGATAATGGTATAAAGCTTCATTAATACCTTTGGTTATATAAAATTACTACAAGCAATATAAGACGGCTCCGGGTTGGTTCCTTTTGCCATGATTGATTTTTATTTAAAATAAATGTAAATTAAATTTTATTACAAAAACAACTTAATTGACCAAATCAACGTAAAAAATTTAACACTTTGTTTAATGTAAGCAAAAGAAAGATATCCTTAATGTATTCTAAAAAAATACATTTTTTAGTAGTAAAAATAATATTAAAGTAGTAGTTGGATATCCCCTGCTGTTTATCAAAGTATTGTGTGCATATTTACAATAAAAATGGCTTCGCACTTTAATTACAAGTTATACCGAGTAAATCAGGGTTGGCTGCCCAGTGGGTAACCCGAAAAAACCCACTGGGTTTTTTTTGGGTAGAATGATTCTACCAGAATCCACATAAAAAATACCGCAGGGTTTGTAAAAGTGAGTTTTTTTTTAAACTTTAACTCTTTGATATAATACATATATTATATTTGTATAATTTTTATTTTGTAAAACGATAAAACATTACATTTTAATGTATGTAAAAACTATCAACAGTATTTCTTTTTAAATGTTGTTTTTTTACTAAAATATGTATAGAATTAAAAAACCCAAAAAAACCCACTTATAAACCCCAAAAAAGCCCAATGGGTTGGGTTATTTAAAAAACCCGTTTTTTTTTCAACCCTGGAGTCCTTTGAAGTCCCTTAATTTATAAGATGACATTAAGAAAGATAGCGTACAAAGAAATATATATTTTAAATGAGCCTGAGAAAAATAAAAATAAGAAAAAAACTCATAACAGTTCTTTAGGAATTTATATAGTGGTTTCCAAAACATTTCTGTTACCTTTAGTTATAAAATTTGGTTTTTATAATGTTACTAAACACATGTTACGATAACCTTTAAAAACTCCTCAAATAAGCTCTTTATATACATATAATATATATGCAGGGTGATTCATTTAATGAAAAACCAAAGTTGATATCACTTCCGGTTTAACCGGACGTGATAACGCATAGTAAATAATTTTTAAAAATAGTTTACATTGCCTTATAATTGACATACAAATTTCAAATCGATATATTTTTCCGTTCTTCATAAACTTCTAATGAATTTCATGAGCCATTAATATTATTCCAAAATGTTATACAGGGTGTTTGGTATTTACCTTTACTTTTTTGCAATTTTAAATGCCAATAACTTTCTTATTTCAAATGGAATGACCATACATTTTTTACACCATTCGACGCGGAATTTTATTGGCTATTGAAATGTTATAGCATACCCTATATATATTAAATGAGTATTTACAAAGATATTACCAAAAATGTGAAAAACCTTTATTCGACTTGTGTGTATTGTCACAAGTGTGCTTTGGATGATTTTATATGTCATATTTGACAAATAAGTAAATGTAAACTGACAGAGAGCTAATTGTCTCATGATAGCTGATACAATACTTATACTAATCGTGATATTCTGGAAACCACTATAAAAACATTATTTATTGGAGTCCGAAAAGGCCCACACCAATTTACTCTTGAAGTGGAAGCTTATGGCACTTAAAATTGAGTAAATGAAAATAGAGAGAATAATAATTGTATATCAAAATTTTAAAATTAAGAGGTGTACAACAGGATTTTTGATTAGGTATTATGAACATAAATATTAAAGATTGATGGAGATAATGGGGACCCTTTTGGAAATCCTTGGGAAAATTTTACAAAATAATGTTTTCAAAGAAATACCTTTTTGTTATCAGGAGTAAATTCAAATTTCATATCGACATTATCTTCAGGGCTATCCCTGTGCACAAAAAGGCTGTCATGCTGCAAACTTGAAGTGGTCTGAAGGGTTCTTAGGCCTAGTGTTCTTCCCTAAAATGGAGGTTAGGAATTACATAATATAATAATTATTTGTAACAACAAATTTTAAATTATGTCCAAACAATGTAAGACTCCAAAATATTTACCACTCCATGGCATACAGAACGCAGTGTATTTAACATTTTTAAAAATATTAAATAATTTGACACTAGATCCAATCTGTTGACATTAATTACTAAATTGACAAGTGCATATAACAAGTGTTGCCAACAGACTCTGTTGAACAGACAAGGTCTCTGTTGGCAGCAGGGTTGCCAGTTCTACTGATTTTTTAGTAGATATACTGATTTGCTGATAGATCTACTGATCTACTGAAAAATGTTGTAATCTACTGAAAAAAATATGACGTTTATTTATTATGGTTATCAATAATATTTATTTTATCACTTACATTTATCTTGCATTAAATTCCGAACGCTATATTTAAATAAAGTTACAAGCATTATTTAAAATTCTAACGCGTCTTAGCGCTTGATATGTTGGTAATACTGACCACAGGCCACGGGGAATCCCCGTCGGGGATTACGGGGGAATTATGTCAAAGAGTAGTGGTTATGTAAAAGACCATGGGGACGGGGACTTCCCAGCTCCGACTGAATTTGTTTTCAAGTGAGGACTATAACTCTAAAAATTCCGGTCCGTCAAAAAAAAAAATTATGATCAACATCGGAATATCCGAATTCGAAGGTATGTTTTTTTTTTAATGAAAATGTTTGGTTATAATCGAGGTTATAACACATTTTTTGTTACTAATTTGCTAGCCTTTGTTACTTTTTTTCATTTCTAAATAAATACATATTTTTTCGACGTTATAATTTTATTTTAGTACCCTTTTCTGAAATTTGTAGAGCAAAAAATAATTATACTGAAATCTACTGAATTTTTGACTACATACCCATACAGCACAAGATGTCCATTGGACGTCAAATGGACTTACATTGGACGTTTGGATGTACAATGGTCGTCCGCTGGACGTCCAATGGATATATGTGCTGTCTGGGTATTTACTGAAGGAATGAAAACCGAATTGGCAACCCTGGTTGGCAGAGACTCTCTGTGCTCATTCATAATGGACGTAACCATAAGATGCCCGTAAGAAATACGTAAAACGTAAAGTTGAACATTAACAAAACCAGTGTGCCTGTTTATAATGAATAGCCGTAATTTTTACGTTTTACGTTCGAACATAAGATCTTATGGGTGACCGTAAAAAATACGTAAAGTTGAAATCATCTCAACTTTACGGGTTTCTTATGTGTGAATTTTAGTAACTTTCATGATTTCACTAGAACATTGTTGGTAGCAATCAGGGTAGTAGCCATGCAAACAGATGACAGATCTTTTTCAAGTGTATTCTGGTGTATCCACAGAACAAACAATCTAAAGAACCATTCATTATCCTAAAGTTTTAGTTTGAGTATTATTCGACGAAATTCGCCCTTTTTTCTTCTCTTTGCCAACGTATATATCGCTCATTACACTAATAATTATAATAACACTGATAGTTTTAACTTAATTTATATTTATAATAATTATAATTATAATTATTATGCCTTAAAACTTTTAAGTTTTAAGACATAATAATTAGACGAAATCTGTCAATGCTGCCATTTTAGTGAACTTGGACATGCGCGCCTTATTAATATATACATAAGCCATACGTTCATTATAAACACAACTCATCGTTACGTACAAATTATGGTGATATTATGTTTACGTTTACGTTTACGTTTACGGGCATCTTATGGTTACGTCCATTATGAATGAGCACTCTGGTTGCCAATGCTGTGAATTCAAAATATCCATGATAAAATGCGAACGAAAATAGAACTTGCCTTAGAAAGTTGTTATTCAGCTATTCCCAGCAGTCTAAACTTGTCAAAATTCGTTTTTCTGAAATAGTTCATCTTTATGATGATGCATTTTCTGATGAAGAAACGTCGAAAGGTCAATTTGAGGATGCTGTCAGACTCAGAATTTACTCAAGATTCTAAATAAATTTAAAAATCGAAAGTTGATATCATTTCCGGCGAAACCGGAAGTTCAAAAAATTCATTTTATACCCTTGTAAGTGGCATTTTATATCCTAATTAACCATGCTAAATTTCATGTGTCTATCTTTATAAATAAAAAAGTTACAGGGGTGCGCCTATAGAATATATTCTCATGCAGATACACCCGGTATACAACTAATTAAAAGGCACCCACATTTATATGACCATAGACAAGGGATTGGTATGACTAATCTTTAAAAGATTTTAAAGAAGATCCAATAAAATTAAATAGCCATGGTCAAATTGCCAACATTCTTAAAGTTGAAGTTAAAATACAGTTCACTTTTTTTTGTTGGTTGTTGGTTGGTGTATAGTACCTACTTCTGCTAAAGAATTGACCATATGCAAGGAATGCGGTCGATGTTGCCAATGGTAAAACAATAAACTTCCCTATTGGGAACATTCAATTATATTACGTTGGCTACACTGAAATTTTGAATTTCCCGCACAAACTGACATACATTCTAGTAGTTCCCAGAGATAAAGAAGGTAGTTCCAATGTTGTATAATAAATTAAGGTGCGAATTTCAAATGTGGGAATTATTATTATTTATTATTATTAAAAAAAAGATGAAAATTAATTTAGTTTGTGCGGGAAGTTCAAATTTTCAATGTAGCCAACTTAATATAATTGAATGTTCTCAATAGGGAATTTTATTTTTTTACCATTGGTAACATCGACCGCATTCCTTGCATATTATGGTCAATTTTTCTTACTACCTCGACTCAAAATACGTTGTTTCGTCCCCGATTTCACGGCAGAAAGTTTACGTTTCTTGCATTGGTCAAGCTATACGCGCACACTCTAATACATAGATTAGATGCTCTAATAGCGGGAGTAAAAATTTTTTAGTCGCGTGCTTAACATTCAAATTTCGTACTGCCAACATGAGAAACAAAAAATAACAGTTTTAAACCATAATTTTGCAATTATAACAACAAATAAACAATTTATGTTTTTACTTTTTTACTTTTTATGTTGTTTTAAGTGTTTAATGGTACTTTTATTTGTTATAAAGTAGTAATTTGTTAATTAAAAAACAACCCTTTATTTTTACTGTATTGGCACCGCTGAATTACCATGACAACGCTACAGTTTGATTGATTTTGAATGTAAACGTCAGAATTAAATTAAACGTCAGATTTTAATTTTGACACAAGTTTTTTTATATACATTTAATTTTTTCCCGTATTTTCTGCGGGGTAGCAAGAAAAATAGTATACACTACACGGGCAGAAAGTGTGAGAGCCCTGAACTGCGCGCCATGATGCCCTCGGCTTCGCCTCGGGCATCATGGCGCGCAGTGCAGAAATCTCACACTTTCTGCCCTTGTAGTGTAATATACTATAATTAAATGGGAACAGCTCGTTGCATCGAAACTCAATAGATCGAATCTCGCCAGATCGAAAATTTACATGACCTTCGAAGCTCACCAGATCGAAAATGTGTGGCATCGTCGCACTTTAAACATCAAATTGGTAAGGTTTGGTTCACATTTTTCATTAGGAAAAAGCGATTTTTCTTAAATGCAAACAAAGTTCGATCTGGGATGCCTGTAGATGTATATATAGTATAGTAGTTTAGGCAACAAAATTTAAAAAGTTATTTATTCTTAGGTACTTTAAAGGTGAGTTCGGGATTGCTACACCGTTCACACCGTGCGCACTTAGCAGTTCGGGTATGCAATTAATGTAAAAAGTGTGATTGTAATTGCGTTCGGGTATTTTAGTGTGGTGTGAACGGTGTTTGCACCAAACGCCCCGACTTGTGAGCTAGGGCTTTGGTGCGGGCATGCGCTTTAGGTAGGTATTACATTTTTGAATTAAAAGTTTTACCCATGGAACAACACAACAACAGGTGTTGTTCTATGGTTTTAACCTTACAAATTGAAAGTTACAATTGTTAACAATTCTGTGATAATAACAACGGTGATACCTACATAATTTTGCTATAATCTGTTATAATGGAAGAAATTTCAAAGAAAACCTATTGCCCTGTGCAAGATACGCAGGGAAACATTATAATTAAGGAAAATAAAATTTTGTTATGCAGTAAGAACCAGGTAATCGATGGCGATGGAAATTCATTGCAATCTTTTAAGGTTAAGTTATTTATCTATGGTTATGAATCTGTCAAATATCACACCATAAAAACACCGAAGCGTTCGGGTTGCGAATCATAGGTTTCTCTTGCGAATGCACTTTTAACTCCCTACTCCAACACTACACCGCACTACACTTACACCAAACCGCAATCCCGAACTCACCTTTAAGGTAATTTGTACACTAAAAATTTATATGAATACTTGAAAACATTGACAAGTGATGTATTTTTATTCTATGGTTGTAAGGAGTGATTTTGACATGTAAGTTTAAAAATATTTTTTATAATAAAATTAAGTTTTTTTTTTGTAGAATTCCAATTACCTATTCAAAGTTGAAAGTAGAAACAGTTGGTCAATTTAGGATAGATTTGTAGCATGACCATTCAATTTTCCCCAGGGCAACACTAATACATGTCAGCATCGCCAACCAGTCCTTTAAACATTTTAAATTTTGAAATAATAGAATTAATATCTTAGATGACCTTTTTATGTATAATTTGATGAGTATGCACTTAATATCTATTTTAAATGTGTGTTTTACTAAATATTGTATGTTTTCAGTACCTCCTGAGGATGTCGAAAGGTGAAAGTAGTCAAGATAATTAAAAAATAAAAATATCCATGATGCGAAATTGTCACCGACACTGAGTTAGAGAAAGGAGAGAAACATACAAGATCTTTTATGTATCCTTCAAAGGATACTATGTGACAAGGGGTGAAACAGAATTGGCAAAACTGAAAACATGACTCCTAATCGATGAGTTGCCAGTTGGTACAAAATTATACAACCAACCACACATACACGTATGCTTTGTTGCTTGATTCTTTCAAAACTCGGCCATGGTGAAAAAAAGTCGGACATCATGTTTTGTGTGCCATTGGGTCCTGTTTGCTTATAAGAACTTCTTAAGAAGGCTTATTTAACTGTGTACAGTTTAAAACGTAAGTATTTTGTTTAATTGTCAGCTTTTTAGCAAACCTTGGTTTTCTATTACTGAAGTCCAGTTGGTTCATAAAAAAGAATAATTCGGTTATTAACTTGTGGCAATACAAATAAAGCAATATTATAAACTT